TCTTTTAACACAGCTTTGTTCCTGTTAATTTACTTGTCTGAATGTGACTGCAAAGAAAATATAAAGGATTTACAGGCATTTTTTTAAATTTAAAAGAGAATGATTTTTCTTTTCTCTTTAAATAGCTTTCAACCAGAATTGTCTAAGAGAGGCAAAGATATAACCTGTTCATCTGGATCCACCATCTTACAGGCTCCTAGCTTTTCTGATTAGAAACCTCATACTGTTTTTTTTAAGTGTACGGTTGTATGAATTTTTTTAATTGATAGGCTTTTTTTTTTTAGAATAGTTTTAGATTTACAGAGAAATTGAGCAGATAATAGAGAATTCCTATATACCCTCTTCCCCATACCCCACCCCCCCGGTGTTCCGGGTTAACATCTTACATTAGTATGGTATCTTTGTGACAATTAATGGATCTATTCTGATAGACTGTAGTTAACTAAAATCCATATGATTCTGATTTCTTTTGATTTTCCCTAATGTATTCCTCTGTTTGAGGGTCCTATCCAGGATACCACATTACATTCAGTGGTCATGTCTACTCTTGGCTGACAATTTCTCAGCCTTAACTTGTTTTTGATAACCTTAACAGTTTTGAGGAGTACTGGTCAGGCATCTTGCAGAATGCCCCTCTAATGAAATTTGTGTGATGATTTTCTCATGATTAGACGACTAGAATTGTGCATTTTGCAGAAGATCACAGAGGTATAGTGCTATTCTCATCACTTCACTCCAAGGGAACGTACAATGAGTCATCTTGTTAATGTTGACTTTAATCATCTGGCTATGTGACATTTGTCAGTTTTCTCTACTGTAAAGTTACTCTTTTTATTTTTTGGAAGGAAATCAGTTTTATGGTGCACAGCCAAAAAGTGGGGAGTCATGCTTCCATTTCTTTAGGTGCAGTATATGCATAATTTATTTGGAATTCTCCTGCCTGAGGTAAGATTGTTTCTTCTCCCCCATTTATTTCTTTATTCGATAATTTTTATATTTATTTTTTATATTAGTATGAATCCATGGAAATTTATTTTATACTTTGTGTTATAATCCACTAATACTTTATTTTCTTGCTCAAATTGTTCTGGCTTTGGCCATTGGAAATTCTTTCACTTGGCTCTTGTGCCCTTTGACATACTCCAATCAATGTGGATGTTTTTATTTTTGAGTACTTCCTTACTTTCTTACACTACAAGGTGCTCCAGGCTCATCTTATGTGTTTATGCCCCAGTCTTATGGTCAGATATTTCCCCAAAGAGGAGCCTTGCACTTTTGTAAGCATAAAGTAGCTCCTTAATCAGCTACTCCAGACATGAAAACTGTTCCCCAATATCTCATTTTTTTCTTGTTTACTAAAACCAAAAGGTGGAAAAATGTTTAATAAATGATATAACCAGGAAATGCAAATTCCCAGTAAAGATGTAAGGAGAGATGATTCAGATTTAGTGTATAGAATGTAAAAGTGAGACAAATTGTTTGAAATAATAAATGTCCAGGAATAAGGGCTTTTTGGGTTTCATGTGTATAAAGGAACCTTATAAAGATAGAAAAGATGATTCTGGATGGGCTTCTCAAATGGTAGTTACAGAGGAATTAGGAAATGAACTCGGAAAAAAATTTTTTTAAAGATTTTATTTATTTATTTGATAGAGAGAGACACAGCGAGAGAGGGAACACAAGCAGGGGGAGTGGGAGAGGGAGAAGCAGGCTTCCCGCTGAGCAGAGAGCCCGATGTGGGGCTCCATCCCAGCACCCTGGCATCATTACCTGAGCCGAAGACGGACGCTTAATGACTGAGCCACCCAGGTGCCCCAGAACTTGGAATATTTTGAAAGAGAAAATTGTGTACACTCACAAGTGGGAAATGAAATAGACAAACTTTTTTAACTGATTTATGTAATGACATTTTGAGATATTCTACCTAAAATATTTTTCATTAATTTTCCTCTTTAAATACTAATTTAGAAATTACTTTGCCTAAGAACTATTTAATGTTCTCAGACCAAAATCAGAAAGATTTCTGCCTGCAAAATAGTATATCTATGATATGATCTGATTTGCATAAACATATTTAGTTATATTCATGGAAAAATTTTGAGGAATATTTATCAACTTAAATATGGTCCTCTATTTCTGCAATACTGGTAGGGTTTTTTTCCTCTCTCTCCCTGTTTTTAAAAACACATTTATTACTTTAGAAATCAAGAAAAAAGTAAATGAATTCAATAAACATTTTACAAAGCCAAAACACATTTTTTTGCAATATATGTAATTTCTGTTAAAAATTAAAACAAAGAAAGGATTCATAGATGAACTAGGGTTTGAGTTAGGTTTGAGGGTGAAGACCAACCATTGCTCCATTGCTTAAAGTAGTGGGTTGAAGAGTTGGCCAGAAACAATACCTTTTTTTCTGGAAGGAAGAACTAATCTCAATTTCATATTAAAAGGCTTGGATACTATAAGTTTTTTCAAAATGTATTTCCCTATTATATAGGTTGGATAAGCTCTAAAGGGATGAGAGGTTTCTGGAATTTAGAAATATGGGGTGTTAGGGGCACCTGGGTGGCTCAGTCGATTAAGTGTCTGATTTTAGCTCAGGTCAGGATCCTGGGTCCTGGATGGCTCAGTTGGTTAAGTATCTGCCTTCAGCTCAGGTCATGATCCTGGGGTTCTGGAATCAAGCCCCGCAGGGAGCCGGCTTCTCCCGTTCCCTCTGCTTGTGCTCTCTCTCTCTCTCTGGCAAATAAATAAATAAAACTTTTATTTTTTTAATATTTTATTTATTTATTTATTTATCAGAGAGAGAAAGAGAGAGAGAGTGCACAAGCAGGGGGAGCAGCAGACTCCCAGCAGAGCAAGGAGCCCGATGCGGGACTGGATCCCAGGACTCCGGGACCACGACCCAAGCCAAAGGCAGACGCTTAACTGACTGAGCCACCCAGGCACCCCAATAAATAAAATCTTTAAAAAAAAAAGAAATAGGGGTTGTTATAGTGATTCATGTTTAGCACCCTTCATGCTAATTCATATCTCCAGCTAGAGTTTAAGATATTTTTTTTTTTTTTGACAGAGAGAGACAGCAAGAGAGGGAACACAAGCAGGGGGAATGGGAGAAGCAGGCTTCCCGCTAAGCAGAGAGCCCGACATGGGGCTCATTCCCAGGACCCCAGTATCATGACCTGAGCCAAAGGCAGATGCTTAACAACTGAGCCACCCAGTCTCCAGCTAGAGTTTGAAAGGAAAGTGGAAAGACCAGGGAAGTTCATGACTTAGGGCATCTGTTCTCAACATTTTTGGTCTCTGGAACTCTTTACACTCTTAAAAATTATTGAGGGACTCAAAGAGCTTATATTTATGTGGTTTATAGCTAGCAATAGTCACCATGTTAGAATTAAAAAGAAGTTTTAAAACCCAATTATTAACTTAAAAAGTAATAAATGCAAACACAGTTTAACATACATCACGTGTTTGTATGAAAAATAACCATTTTAAGATATTCTACTTATCTTGGGGCGCCTGGGTGGCTCAGTCATTAAGTGTCTGCCTTCGGCTCAGGTCATGATGGGATCGAGCCCTGCATCGGGCTCCCTGCTCAGCAGGAAGCCTGCTTCTCCCTCTCCCACTCCCCCTGCTTGTGTTCCTGCTCTCGCTGTGTCTCTCTCTGTCAAATAAATAAATAAAACCTTTCAAAAAAATAAGATATTCTACTTATCTTGACATGGCTTTACATTTTTTGCATATCTCATTAATATCTGACTTAAAAAAAGCATTTTCTGTGATTCAAGTATATGAAGAAAATAGGAGGCCTTAGGAGAATTTAATAGTCTTTTCAGTTAAGTGTGGATATTCTTCTCTGATGTTACAGAAAATTTGATAAGTGATAATTTCTTAAAGATTATTTGCAATGAAGAATCTGAAACCATATCAAGGAATCTTTTGTACTTTGTTTTTATGTGTGTGCAACACACAAACACACACATGCACATGCATATATTGATCTATCCATGGGTCTATCCGGCTCTTTGAATGGATTTTTTATCCATGAATGATTTTTTAATGGCCTGCATTGGTCATTTGGAAAATATTGGTTCACTGTGTCATGTAGATCTCTCATACCTTGACATATCTCATCATTATCAAAAAGTCCCATTTATTAATAGCACTAAAGTCTTTAAGTTATTAACTTTACAAACTGCCAGTTATTTTACCAGCAAAAGATGGGTTTATTTGAGAATATCAGAGAGTTGTAATCGTGGATAAGCAAGCAAACAGGATTTTTAATGGCCTTAAAGGATTGGTACAAATAGTTTTAAGAAAGAGGGTTAGAAGGGAAGAAGTTTGAAGAACAAGACTCTAAGATCTTGTGGATATGAAAGGCAAATAAAGAATAAAGTCAGCCTTTTGTTCCTTGCGGTTTTGTGTATACGAGGAAGTGATGGGTGAACCTACATTTTTGTCAACATTACCGGTTAAAATTAAGAAATTAACACCTTTTAGATTGATGTGGTGGGGGCTTTGGGGAGGCGGGGACTCAGTGATGAAGGCTGTGAAGAGAAGTTCCTTTATTTAAAATACATTTATGTCTCAGAATTTATCTATAGACAAAAACCCACTAGAAAAGGAGTATGTCAGAGGGGAACATAGTTTTGCTAATACATTTTTGACAATTTGAAAAGCCCATGGAACAGTTGGCAAGGAGATTGTAGGTCTCAGAATATTCACATAGGTCTGAAACAACTCAAAGGGAAAGTACTTTTGTTGAAAACACCTTTCTGACATATTGTTACTACTAGTGCCAAAACTTGGTGGGTACTGAGTCGCTTGAGCTCAGTGAACCGTGATTGTCTCATTAACAGGGAATACCGCAAGGAGTCACTTCGAATACTGATTTCCGTGGCCTTTCGCAATGGCACTAAATCGGGCTCTCTGCGCTTGCCGTAACGCGGACTCTACCATTGCTTTGCGAGGGGGGATTTGGAGGTAGCGGAAGAAGGAGCCCGAAGGGTGGGGGGGGGGAAGCCGGGCGCTCCGGAGGACGGTTGTTTTACGGATCCCGTAACCAGCTCCTCCTACTCCCCTTTCCCCTCTCCCCGCCGCCCCTGTCCCGTCCGGGAGCGGCGGCGGCCTTGAGCTTCGCTGTGTTCCCGCGGTGGCAGGTGAGCGTCCGGCGCGCGGGCTCCCCGAGCTTCGCTCCCCACCCCCCGTGTCTCCTGGGCGGGTGGCGGCGGCCGGCCGGGGAGGCGGCCTCCGCGCACAGTAATGGCAGCGCTGTGAGCTGGGGAACGCGAGCTGACAGCCGCCGCCGCCCACCTTCCTCGCCGGGGGCTTCGTCCTTCACTCCTTCGGGCTGCCTCCCCCTCCCCTTGTCCCCTGTCCCTAGTCCCGCTTCTGCAGAAGGTAACCCCGCTGAGGGTCGGGGAGCCGGGCTGCAGGCGCCGGGAAACTTCCCTTCCCGGTTAAAGGGTGGCGGGGATGGGGCGGAGGAAAGGAGTTGGGGGCGAGGAGGGGGGAGGGAAAGGGATGGAAGGGGGGCGGCGAGGGAAGATGGTGTCCTGTAAGTGACCCCGGCTCCCCGGAGCGCTGACCCCTAAGCCCGGCCACCCCCTGGACTGGATCCCGGGCCTCCCCTACCCGGCCTTGGCCGCCCCTCCCTCGGCCCCATTTTCTTCCGAAGGAGGGAAGGTGAGAGTGCGTGTACTCTTCTGCTTGTTTACGAGCTCACACGGATACACAACTCTGTGTTGGGGGGTGTGTTGGGGGGGCATCAATCTCTTACATCCTTACCACGAGTGTTTTCACTTTTGTTTCCGCAGACAGCGAAGATTGATAGCTATGGGGAGGAGTAACCTACGTGCACTCCAGACCTGTCTCTACGCTTAGGGTCTGGTGAAATAAGATCCTTAGACTCCTCAGAGCACTTACACACTAGGGAGTCTGGACCATTCCCTACAACCCCACAGATACGTGCATGTAAATAAAACATCTGTGAATTGCACAGTGTTCCTGTTAAATCATCCCCTTTCCCTCAGGGATTACTATTACCAGTTGAGGGGCGGCACTGTATAAGTTTACATTTTGAACATAATTAGATTAGATAACTAGAATAGATAAGATTTGAAGATATTAACATACACTGTAGGCGCTTTGACTTGACAATATAAAAATCTTCGAACCAGATCTGTCCCAAATGTATATTCACAGTAAAATTTGGGAAATAATCACTTTGTTCTCATTGACTACCAACTACCTAATAGATATTTAAAAGCACTCAAAAGGCTGTACCCTACCCTTTAGAATCACACATTACTTTCCAAGGCAGACAAATTGGTTATACTTTGCCTCTTTTACCCAAATACAGTGTTTGGAAGACCCTTCCAAAAGAGTGAGAGGTGAAATTACAATGGACACAGTGTTTTGAGTTATCCCTTTTTTCTTTTTAGATGCTGTTTATAATTGGGGGGAACATTTCTACAGTGTGCATGCACATAGAGTGTGAAACATACCTTTCCTATGTATTTGAACGTTCAGATGCATCTGAAATAATCTTACTTCACTCCATCCTCTGGTGATTTTCAGTGGTTTATGAAAGTTAAGATGGTTTATCCATGTCTTTTATCCTCACCAGTTTGTCATTAAATTAAACGTTGTGGGCCTTCTTTAAAGTCAGTTTTGTCTTATCTATCAGTTAAATATTAAGTACTTGGTTTGTATGTCAAGTATTATCACAGGCATTAAGGATACCACAGTAAGCAAGATGTGAAGTTCTGCCCTCCTGGAACTTCAATTCTGGTTGGAGAGGGAGAGACAGATAAGACATAAGAAATAAAAGTAATTTCAGAGAATCATTAAGTGCAATGAGGGAAATAAAATGGGAAGTTGTGGTAGTGACTGAGAGAAGACCATTTCAGATGCTGTGGTTGGGAAAGACGTGTCTGAAGTGACCTTTAACCTGATATCTGAAAAGTCAGAAGAGTTTAGCCTTTGGAAGTCTGAGGGAAGAGTATTAATATGTGAGGGAATAGCACAGGGAAGTTCCCAGGGGTGGTGTCAGGCTTGGGGTCAGTAAGCTGAAAGAAGCTCAGTGCCTGTGGACCTTAGTGAGGGTAAGTTAGGTCATAGCCAAGTGCCAGATCTGGTGAGGTCTTATTGTCCAAAAGAGTTTGGCTTTTATTCTTAAAGTACATTGAAAACCTTTTGGAATTTTTGTGAAACTGAAGTGATCTGGTCTGATTTACAATCTGACTGCAGGGGAGATGGGATAAGAGGAGAAAAGAAGCAGAGAGACCAGTTAGAAGGCCGTGGTAGATTGGGGTAGTGACTGGCGTGTTAGAGACAAGTTAAAGATTTTTGAGGTATATTTTGGAGCTAAAAGTATGGATTGAACTTGTGCCTTGCATGAAAGTGCAGTTGGTTGAGACAGGGGTGACTCCTGGGTTTTGGACTTCACCTGGAGGATGGTGATGCCATGTAATGAGAAGGCGGTGAGGGAAGTATGTTATATGCGGGAAAGGTTGGATAGGTAGACATGTTAAGTAGGACCTGTTAGATGTTCAAGTGGAGGTGAGAAGTAGGCAGGTGGATATACAATCTGGAGTTTAGTGAAGAGGTTAAGAAGTCATTCATTCAAATGTTTTTCAGGCACCAGCAGTGGACCTGGCCGTGGGGCTATAGTAGTGAAAAAATAGACAAAAATCTGTCTTCATGGGACTTAAATTCTAGTGAGGAGAGAAGGAGATGGGGCGTCATCAGCGCTTACCTATTGGTTTATTTATGTTTTGAATAAAAACTACATTCACATGATTCAAAATCTAAAATGTTTGATGGGGTAGAGTGAAAAATCTCCCCTATTTCTTGTCTTCCGTTACACCCAGTTTTTGTAGCGCTAAACAGCGTTCGTGTTTTCTTACATACTTTTCCAAAGATATATTTTATGCACATATAAGCAAATATGTATATATTCTTCTCCCCACTTTGCCGGAGTGGTAGCATACTTCACCTGTCTTGACCCCTTGTATTTTTTAGAGTATGAAATGGTGTTTTAAGTTATGAAACAGGTTGAGACCACCTAAGCAAAGAATGTAGAGAGAAGTGGAGAAAGCCCTGGAATACTGCAGCATTTTCTAAGTTGGTCCCTGCTCTCTGAGTTTTGGACCTACAGATGTGGAGTTGTTCAAAGAGCTGTTACTTTTTTGTGAGCCTTTTTACAAAAGTTTCTTTTGTGTTCCACCTTTCTTATCTGCCTGTTCTCGTTATAAACCTGAAAATGTCTGATTATAATTGAAGGCAGTGTTTTCATGTATATACTGTCAGTTAAGTTCAAGAAAATTGAAGACAGGACCAGCCCTGGAATCTTAATATTATGAAGACTTTTGACTGGTTATTGTTAAGTCTGGGAATGTAGAAATTTGGAATGTTAGGAGATTTATAACAAGTTTTTGATACTTGAGATGTGTGACTGAATCCTTGCTCAGTAATCAGTTGATCAAAATATCTGTTCAGAGTGATCTGGCTCTTTGCCTGGGTTTGAATCTTAACAGTAATGTTTCTATTATATTGCAGATGTTAGCATAATCCTTGTATTATTATCTTTAAGAATGTTTAGCGTCATCCTATGTTACTACTTTGTGTTTGGGAAGGCTTATTAGAGATACTAGAACAGTGTAGGTCTTTTGATCCTTAAAAGTTTTGAGACAGTGAGTAGTGTTAAAATCATTAGCATCTTCTATAACTTTTGGGGAGCAGTTGAACCCTGTTGATTGACCTACCTGGAGGAGGGACGATGCAATATTTTTTAATGAATTTATAATGCTTTATATATTGGGTTTTGACATTTTGATTTTCAGTTAGCTGTCTTTAGCCAGTGACTTGCTATGTAGCTTTATCTACCTGTTTTTTTCTGAGACTGTTCTTTTTTTAAAGATTTTATTTATTTACTTGAGAGAGAGAAGGAGAGCACAGAGGGAGAGGGAGAAGCAGGCTCCCCTCTGAGCAGGGACCCCAAGGCAGGGCTTGATCCCAGGACCCTGGGATTATGATCTGAGCCAAAGGCAGATGCTTAACTGATTGAGCCATCCAGGCACCCCTGAGATTGTTCTGACTTAAGAATTGTTTTGTTTGGTTTTATTTTTGTGGTCGTTTTTGTTATCTTTACTTCTCTTATATTCTTTTTTGCTGGAGATTAAGCTACTAGTTTTTAGGTTGGAGAAATATAATCTTTGATGGAAAATATTTAATAGTACTTTTTGAAGCATTAGACACTAATTATGTATGACTACCATTTGAAGTATGTGTAGTGAGTGTGTTTAACTTAAATTCTGTAAATGTATAAGTGTTAATGTTCTCTTTGAAGATTTTAGTTATCTAAATGATTTTCACTTACGTACTTTAACATCATAAATGATGTTACTCTTGTTATTTAATCATTGGATTATAGCCTGATTGTGTGTGTGTCAGAATTTTTTTTATCAACAAAGTTGACTATTTATCGTTTTTGTTTCTCTTACCAGCTGTAAGTTTCTTGAAGGCAGCATCTCTAGCACCTGTAAATACATAAGTATCTCTTAATGACTTAAGTCTTGTTTCAACGTAGGTTGCTTTTCAAATACTGAAATGTTGGATTTACCTACCCTGTGTAAATACTTCTTGAATTTCTCAACTTTGTTTTAACTCACTTGAGGGAGAGAATGTATAATAGGATACTTAAAAAAATTTTTTTTTCATTTTGAAAAATATACCTTCACCCAGGTACCTTTCACCCAGCTTTCCCTAATGTTAATAACTTATGCAACCAGAGCACAGTGATCAAACCAGAAATTAACATTGGTACAATACTATTAATTAAACTACAGACCTTATTTGAATTTCACCAGTTTTTCCAATAACATCCTTTTTCTGTTTCAGGAATCCCACATTGCATTTAGTTGTTGTGTCTCCCTAATCTTACCTGATCTGTGATAGTCTTTTCTCTTCTTTCATGAGCCTCACGCTTGTGATGAGCGTGTGGTCATTTATTTTGTAGAATGTCTCTCAGTTTGGGTTTGTCTGATGTTTTCTTGATTTATTGAAGTTTTGCATTTTTGGCAAAAATACTATAGAAGTAACGTTGAGTGTAATGTTGAGTCCTACATTCAACATTACTAGTGTTGAGTACAGGATG